GTAGTCTTTCATTTGGCAACTTATCCTTTGTTGGAGGTAAATTAGTCAATTCACCAAGCAAAAAACAAAGTGTAGTGGCCAGAAGCAGCATTGAAACAGAATTTAAGGCATCATTCTCTGGTATCTATGAAGGCAAATGGATTAGAAGACTAGTTAAAGAATTGAAAGTTTTCAGAAAATAACAATACAGATTTATTGTGACAATAAGGTTACATCTCTATATCCCATAATTCAATTCAAACGAAGTATACCAGAGTCGACAGACATTGCATAATATTAGAACAATAATTAGAAATACATGCCTGATATTATGGCGACTTTGTCGTATGTTGCACCTGAAACATCTGCTCGTAGAACGACTTTCACCTGTATTGCCATAAAAGGAATGGTCAAAATTAGCCTCAGTATTACAAGACCATTCTTAAATCAAATAGGCTGGAAAAATATAATAACCTTAGGAAAACCATCCAAGTACTGTAATCCAGGATATGTTTCCACCAAACCCTCAATGAATTCGGTCACCACATCTGAAATGCATCCACATAAGAAAAAAAAAACAGTTAAGTGAGTCATCGCTCTTTTAGATGCAGAATATCTATCAGATCAATAAAGAAAAAACAAAAAAGGAGAAAAGGAAGAGGCTATGGTCCAATTCTCGTCATTTCATCAACTCTAAAGAGTCTAGAGACTGAAGGATCGCATATACTCTTTGCAACTATCAACCAAAATTTAATGTAGCCACTCTCCTACAACCAAAATCTATCTAGTAATTCTCCAAAAATTGCTAGGAGATGAAAATCTCTGAATCGTGAAAATTTGAAATCCAAGAGGTGAAGATTATCCTCGAGTGCTCTCTTTAATGAGGTTGCCTCATTTTCTTTAACCCAATTAATCAGTCCTAGGAGAGAATGGTGATGGAGATGAATTTTGGCTTTTCTCCTGTTCATCAACTTGAACTTCATTCTTCTGTAGCTGATGTTAAGTTTCCATGGGGATTTAGGATCAACACTCGTAACTGTGTTAAAATCCAAATCATTGGAATGAATGTTGTATGTCCATATACGTACACCATGAGTGTCAAAGGGACTATCCAGAAGTCAACTCTAAGAAGGCAATATTTAAATTCAACCAAATCGAGAATCTCAAAACCTCCATAGGAGTGGCATTGGATCTAGAGACTAATCTCAGAAATTCAATTAACACAATGATGCTTAAGATTTCAGAAGAAAACAATGCATGGCATAACTCGATAAAATTACTTAAATTCGGCGCAGACTTCTCAGATAAAACCCAAATAAGCAAGAGACATTTCTCGTCACAAGCAGGTGAATCAAAAAAAAGGAGGAAAATAAAATAAGAACCTATTTGCCAAACATTCTTAGTCTTTCATTCGTTTGCGCGCATATATAGGACTACAACATCGTCCTGACGCTTCCATCGAATACAGCAGTGAAGCTAATAAAAGAAGGGCAAAACCAAAAATGACTGATAATCAGAAATTTCGGGTTTCCATAAACTAATAGTACATGTGAGCAGGCATGTTGGAGGGCTGTTAACATATTTTGTTTTCTATCTGCTTCATCCATTGCAAGTATTTGATATGCAAATATAAATAGAGATAAATCGGAGATAGATGATGCAGAGTATATTAGCAATGAGGACAAGTAGAAGCTTCCTCAATTATTGTATCTCGATACTGAATCAGCAGACAAGCAGAAAGTCAAACAAATGAAATCGGCGATAGATGGGGATGGAAAGGGGAGATGTAAAAGGATCAGGGAGAGAAACAATGCCGAGCAGGAGAACTGACCGTCGGGCTTGTTGATGAGCTTCTTTCCTTGAAAGGCCATGCCAGCGTCCAGAGGTTTCCTTGCCTCGGTCGATCTTTGTTAACTTGGGAGCTCGAAACCTCGAGCCTCTTATTTCCCGGGTTGTTTTTTTCCACTATTCGCGTCCAGTGGATAAACCATCCTTTTCTTTCTATTTTTACCTCCGATTATACGTTTGTATTTTAAAGCTATGTAAAATTTTTTATTACTATGTTTGATTTAAGGTCTTATATAAGGTGAATTGGACAATTTGTTATTATTTTTAAGCTGAAGTTGCTTAAATATATTGATTTTTGTTTTAAGTTACAATGTGACAAAATAACAAATTGTTATTATATTTAAAATAAATAGATAAACAACTTCTTTTTCTTTCTCTTTTTCTCTCTTTTCCCGCTTCTTTCTCCTTCGTCCTCCCACTTTCTACCTCATTTCATCCATCTTCTCTTAATTTTATATATTTTATATCTTTTAATTATTCTTGTTCTTCTCATTCTCTTATCTCCTACTCTTCCTTTCTCCGCTTCTTTTCCGAATATTACAAAATATATATCTATATATTATAGATGTAAAGCTAATCAAAACTTTTAATTTATTTATTTTTGACACATTAAAACTGATAAACAGTAGTAATCTTTTTGAGTTGGTAAAAAAAATTGAATAAATATTAAACTTGTATCACATTCATGTGACTTAGTTCTTCCTCTAAGAAATAAATATCAAAACTCTGTCAAATTGTATCTCTCACCTAACTTAGTTCCTCCTCTAAAATGATATGAACTTGTTAAGTATCGTGTCAATGTGAAGTAAAGTTCCTGTCCATCAATTTTGACATTCTGTCTTTAAAAATAAGATAATTTTAAAATGTGAAAATGTAAATGGTAAATGATAATTTTGACATTCTGTCTTTGACAGTGCGTATCAGTTGACATTACATTCGCTGGAGGCATCCATTGTCCAGAATGCACGGGTAAGTTCATGTCTCAATTCATGACAAAATTATACCTGGAGTCCACATACGTCTCCACATCCCACAGGAAAGAACCGAAAGTCACGGCTTCCAAAACTAGTCTCTTCAACCCACCAAAGCTGATTTTGATAAGCTCGTCTTTGGAGGTATCTACTGTTCCGTGCGGGGTGATTGCAATCTGGGGTCTTCCAAACAAGGCCTCCGTGTGTCTCTCAATGATGCTAACGGCCTCTTTTGACCTTATTGTGGCAAATCTCTGCAATGTCTCCCCATCAAATGACATTACGTATGTTCGCAATCGGGAGGGCTTGATCCCCATACCCGACTCCCCATGACTAACATCTCCCTGTTCAGCTGCCATGGAAGAGATTTCAGGATGCACTGGTGCATTGGAGAAGGAGCCCTCAACAGTTGCACTGGCTGGTAGCACTTTCACAGTCTTCTCAAGCTGAAATCTCTCATCCACTCGCTTGAGGAAGTAACCATACATCACAGACGCAGCATACACCTGCCCCACTCTTAGTTTGCTTATCTGCGCTACTGACGCAAAGTCACCAATCCGATTCCCCAAAACCAGCGCTAGGTGGTTCTGAATCATTTCGCTTGCTTCCGACGAGTGAAGCCGCTCCAGCTTTTCATCATCTCGTGCCCATGTGTCAACTCGCCCATATGGATCCGTAGACGACGGGGCAACAGCTGGTATTAGAGGAACATCGGCGTCCATGAATCGTTGCACCACCATTGCATATAATATCTCTTCTAAGGCCCTCTTCCTTTCAATTGCCTTAACCTCAGCAATCCTCCTAACAAATTCAAACGCTAAGCTACGTGAGCAGGGTTGTCCAAAAAAAAAAAAAAAAAAAAACAAGCTTCATCAGCTTCGGTGCTCTTCTAATCCAACAATATGCTTCAATCGACTGTTAAAACATTTTCGTTCCTAGATCCATCCTTACCTGTTGACACTCGGCCTCTAAGGGATGCGGAACTAACCTGTACAAGACAATGTCATGAGTAGCTGAAGCAGAGGGCTCTTGAGTTAGTTCTTCAGCATGACGTTGGGTCTGCAGCTGTTGAAGCTGCTGGTCGACGGCTGCAGGAAGAAGGTGGGGATGGGTAGTCAGGATTTGAGACAGAAACTGGCCAATTGGAGACTGGAGCCGAAGTGGAGCAATTTGGGCAGCAGAACCATCCGGATCCGGAGACAGAGACGCTTTAACCGTTGGGAATCCCAATCCCCGACCCCGGCCACTACAGGGGAGAGTAATCGTCTTCTTTCCAAGTTTTGATGGAGAAACGAAGGACCGATAATGCTGCGATGCGACAACGGAAAGTTGGGAAAAAACAGAAAATATCAAAATGAGATGCACAGAAATTGACTATGAAATGATTGATAAATATGGAGTGAGAAATACAAGAAAAATGATTCCAGCTTACAGGAACAGAGATGAGGGATTTGGAAGGAAAATAAAGGGAACGGGAGGCAGGGGGCCTGGGGGCGATGTCCCGAAATGGCGATCCAATTCCAATGGCAAGGGTTGAAGTTGAACCAGTGGCTGCTTCCATGGCGGTGTCTCTGAGTAGTGTAGTGTTGTGTCGTATGGATCTGCAAAAGGCATATGAAAATTGATGAAGGGAGCGAAATTGAATGAATAGTTTCATCAAGGAGCGAGTATGAAAGATACAAACCTGGGAAGAAGAAACTAGAAACTGGAGTGTGGTGCAGTTTGTGGAGAGGAGATGTTTATAGAAAGAAATTGTGAAACACGTTTGGGCACGCGTATGTTTGTGTATGAATGGACGGAGAGACGGCAACGACATGCAAAAAAAAAAAAAAAAAAGATCTTTGTAGGCATCTCATAATTTCTGTGGACACTCTTGGCTTTCTTCTCTGTGCATTACATTAAGAAAACTAGATAGAATCTATTAACACATATATTCTTCACCACAAGCTTTGAGAGGTTTGGATCATTCCTAATTTTGAAGTTGAAAAATAAAATAAACAGAACACACAGTACCATAAATATATGTAGAGATTAAATTATATTTGAAGCTTCTAAACTTCATCATGCATAAAGAAAGATCGAACTCCAACTAATTCAAACTAAAATTGATGTTATTACTCATTTTTGTCATATCCTTCCTTTTATTCATTTAGATTTTAAGTCAATTTATTTTTTTCAAAATTTTTGTAAAGAAATATATTCTGACAGTGACAAAGAATCAAATTAATTTGAATGAATGAATGAATGTGAGGATTTACAAGACGATGATCTGTTTTAGATTGTCCAGTCCTACGCCCCGTATTCTTTCTTCAGAATCATAGGAACTGTATATCCTGTTTTTTTGGATGACCGAAAGGAAGAACACTACTTCCTCGTTCCTGGCCTTTTAAGTTCACGCTATGCTAAGCCACAACTAAACCTACCTGATCCAGATCTCCTAAAGAAAGAGGCAAAGCCATGGCTGCTTAAAAAAGATGACTGTTTTATGAACAAGGCGTTTCGTCATCCAAGTTCTGCTCAACTTCTGATTGTCGAATGAGTAATAAATCTAAAGCCTCTTTCATCCACATGTGAGGGCAAACTTCTCTGGCTTTCTCCACACTCATCTACAAGTTCCATAGGAAATTCAGTTAGTAAGAGATGATGATAAGAACACTTTCTACCTTGGAAGAATATTTAGATACCCGAGGCAGGTAGTGGAGTTGAGACAGACTCACCCATTCTCGCTTTCGGATATCTTTCTCCGGCCAATTTTCCAGTTGTTTCGTTACACGCAAAGCGAACATGTAGGCTTCATGCATCTTCGCATGGCTCTTGCTCTTGTAATACCACTTGCCTAATCTGCTCTGTAAAATAAAATTTAATTTGAATTTGGATGAACAAAAGTTGTGTTACACAACCAATTATGGAATCCTAGATTCGAAATACTAACTTCGATGTTGCCAGTTACTCCAGCTTCCTCGAATGTCTCTCTTGAAGCTGCGGTTTCCATTGACTCGTCGTTTTCCCACCCACCCTGCATTTTCGAATGATCAAATATTGAGTATACAAGAGAGAGGGTGAATGATCCACACTTTCATTCGGCCCAAAATGGTACCTTCGGGAACAACATTGCATGCCCTTTCTGCGAACTAATCACAAGAACTTCTATATTGTCAACCGAAAACGATTTCTGGGCATCTTTGTATCTGTAAGGAATGCATCTGAAAACAGAAAACCCCCAAGAAAAAGTCAGGGGATTAATAGTAAATCAAGAAATCGATAAGATTTTCCTGGCTACAAAAGAATTCCGTAGATAAAAGGAACGATACACAATTTGCAAATCAGAGCCTCATAACAACGCCTAAAAGATCGTGTTTAATTAATTAACCATCCAAACTACCCCTAGAAACACAAAATTTGAGAAATCCACAATTGAGAAGGCTTCATCGCACGTAAAATTTCAACATTTTCTTAATAAGCCCAAAAAGAAAGGGGGAAAAAACGAAAGGAAGAAACATACCCAACAACCAGGCGATACTCTTTATTGTAGCGCTGCCTGTATCTTCCGGTACGGGCTGACACCATGGAGACCATGTTTTCAATCTGAGAAGGGACGAGATTCGTAGGGATTTTCTTGGATGAGAACAGGGAAGAGATGAGAAAATTTACAATATTTCTGGAAAGAAAGAGACCCATTTTATCGGAAAGAAGGAAGAGTGAGGAAATTATTTCCTCTGGTAGGCGTGGGGATTATTTTATTTTTCCTTTTAAATGAACTCAAAGAAAATATATGAATAAATATTTTGGAGTTCTTGCAATTTCTATCCGACCCCTCATTCCTTAATAAAGGACGCACGCAGGCAACCAAGAAGGGGGTGAAAGAAGAACGTTGAGGGAAGGACAAGATGAAAGAAAGAAATAAATGAATAAATAAATAAATGCAAAATTGAGGCTCAGTTGGAGGGTTAGGAATCTGTCCCAATTCCTAACACTACAAAAGATTCCAAAATTGAATGGAAGAAGAAACCACTTTTCTTTGTCTGGGAAATTAACTTAAGGAGCCTGCTAAATTTAATCCGGCATTCTCTGAGAGCATGGTAGACACGAGGCGCGAAGGAAGAGGAGCATGGTTAAGATTATTATATTACACGTCTATGTGTATGTGTATGTGTATGTTAAATATAAGCACGTAATCCAACATATGCGTGGAAGTGTCATCTCTGTGAGGGTATGTGAACTGTAAGGAAACATTCTCATTCTAAAATATATATGCAACTTCCTCACTGTTTCGCCTAATGCTCACTTTTGAAAGTGAATTCAAAACATACTAAAATATTCAAAAGACAAGATGAGCCGATGTTTGAATGTCACGAATAAAATTCCAAAAGGGTGGTAAATTCCTTGCTAGAAGACTAGAGGAGAAGTTCGTTTTATTGCAATAGAAGATTGAAAACTTCTTTTTTTCTTTTGGATCCTAGAGATTCTAAAGGCACGAGAACCTTCGAAAAGGATCAAGGAAACTAGGCACATGGTAAAACTGAGAAGCTCCTATCGAAGTTCATATGAATCTTTGGGTACCCATCATGAGATTTACGGATACATTCGAACCACTGTTGGTCATATTTCTCTTTATCGAGAAATCGAAGAGGCTATACAAAGATTTTGCCAGGCCTGCTCATATGGTACGTAATCCTCTGGTATCTAAATTTCTCTTTATCGAGAAATCGAAGAACCCGAATGGATGGTTTTATATATAAGTTTTTTTTTCCTTATTATTATTAATATTTATTCTCACACCCCTTTTAAATCTCCCCTTTTAAATCATGTAGAAAATGATGTTTATATGCCAGAAAAGCAATTTGCAATATAGGGGTTCCTTCCAGGGAAAAAGAAAAAGGGAAAAAAAGAGAGCCTTTTATTATTCGGGTTTCCTCGGTTGCAATATAGGGGTAACATACTCGTTTAGCAGAGGGATTTTGTCATGATAGCAAATATTGGGAGACTCATGATCAACCCTATAATATAAATATAAACAAATGGAGAGGGTATAGATGAATAATAGTCTCAGATTGTATATGGTTTAGGCAATGGCATGCCTTTGACCAAACCGCATACCAAAGTCTTATCTGGGATGTTATATTCATCTCTAAGAGAGCGAGCGGGTGAAAGAACGCTGAAGTATAACTGTTGTCCCAAGTACCGATTCTCTGTCAATTCTGACCTCAAGTTCCACATTCCAGCGTTGTCTAATGTAAGCAGAATGGCTGCCCACGATTTAGGAAAAACTTGGATTGTATGTCTGCTCACGGCATCCAGAAGATTATAATTCTTTCGCTTCTCTGGAGTCCATCTCCCCGGCTCAATGCTGTGAAATATCGATAAAGAAATCATTAGATATTAGAAAATATTAATATCTATTGGTATGGGTTATTATTTATAGGCGTTGATACTTACGCAACCGCGAAAAAGGAGTGGCCATCCAAATGCCATGACTGGAGACTCTTTTCATGGTTCTCAAATATAATCTCTATGAAGTTGCGGAAGGTTGCGTTAACAACATTTGGAGCAATTTTAACATTATTTGCACTTTCCGCCAATCCTTCATCAGAAATTGTATCATATTTGAAGACCTTTTCTGCAACTCCGAAGTACTCTGCAAGCTTTAGTGGAGTTTCAGGGTCAATATGAGAGACTCCATTGATGGCATATCGCAACTTACCATCAACATTTGCGACCGAATTGACTATTTTGATGGTGCGAGTAATGTTGATGGAACCATAGTGATATGAGCCCTGAGGATTAGGCCTAGCAGCGCTGGCAGTAAGGTTCCAGCGGAAGGTACGAAATTGATTGAGGGACCAAGCCCAACCGATGGGTGCCTCAGGAATTTCATGAGAGGCGATACCATTCCCATTGGTGTATCCAACAATGCCTTTACCGACAAGAAGTTTCTTAGTGAATCGACTTGATGCAATCATGTAATAGTCTTTAGGGTCTTGGTTGGCTGTGACTAGCACTGAAAAGCATTGTCCCACATGGACATCAAGTGATTGGTAAGTGTTTTGGACAGTATGAGAGCCCTCCATCTCTACTAACTTCATGGTGTGGCCTTGGAACCTAAAGTTAAGAGATACCTTCAGTCCAACGTTGCAAATTCGGTACTTGTAAGTCTTCCCAGGCTTCATGGTGAAGAGTGGGTCATCAGTCCCATCACCCTTGGCAACTTTGCCGTTAATAAGGACACCGTCGGGTCTAGCAAAGGAACGCCCACTATCCAAGAACCCCTTAAGCGTAGAATGGCTGTTCATGTACCAATCACCAATAAGGACAGTGTAATCATCTTCAGGATCAGCATAAGGGACAGGAATGAGTAAACGGCTGTTGACACGAAGACCGCCAAAGCCTCCTGCAGCCCTATGCATGGCAGTTGATGGGTAGTAGAAGAAGCTTCCAATTTGATCCTTAACCTGGAAATGATAGGTGAAGTTTGTCCCTGGTGGGATTGGGCAATTGGTTCCAAGTACTCCATCCTGCCACGAGTTCTTTCTGTGTTGGACACCGCTCCTGCAATTCAAATTTCATTTTTTATTTATTTATTCAGCCATTAAATGAAGAAGAAAGACATTTAATTGGCGGATGTAGATGTAGATGTAAATATGAATACAAATACAATTAGTGTACCAATGCAGAAGGAAGGGTTCATCGAGATTATTGAAGACATTAATAACTAGGTTATTGTTGGTTGTGGAGTTGATATTAGGTCCGGGGAATTGACCGTTGATGAGAATGCCTTGTTGGGGAGAACCCAAGGGGGAGATGGTGCCATAGGTGACATTCCACGTGAAGAAGAAATAAGGGTCCTCACCCCGGACGGTTGACATTGCTTCAGCCAAGAGGCAAATTAGCAGCAGCATGGTAAATCTCAACCCAGCCATCTGTCAAACCACTGCTCTTTCTTATCGAGCAGCCTCTTTACCCTCAAAATCTACCCCCAATATTGCTAGAAGATGGCTTCTTATCCCGTTCCCCACTGCCTAACCCTTCCATTCCTCCACTAATATATACGTTTAGGCTCAACTTCTCAGCCGTTCAAAAACTCCTAGTTTTTCTCCAACTTACTTTTTCTAGCCTTGCGTATTCCCCTACGAATAATGACCACATCCCTCTCAAACTCCAACAAATATTTACTTAAATTAGAGCTTGACTCTCCATAATACGTGAAGTCCAAAACACGTACAATGATTTCCAAATTCAAGCAAAATTATTAGAAATAAAAATGTTCTTGGATTCAGTTCTTTCATGAGAAAAATGAAAGATGAAATTCAGTTTATAGAAATTATAATAAAATAAACATGTTTTAAAAAAATAATAAATGATTATAAAACAAGGCTATAAAACTTTAAATGCTTTGTATAAAGTTTAAAAATTGGTAGAAATGCTTCACCATCGAAAACTTTTGTTTCAGTCTACTTTACCACTAGTTCATACTACAGATCAGTGATGTTGAATGGAACAAAATGATAAACCCTAAACCCGAAACCCGCTCTAGGTTATTTCAAAAAGAAAGAAAAAAAAGGAGAGTGAAAGGGTCGACCATTAAGGGATCTCTTTGACATTATAATGAAGAGAAGATTCTTCCATACCTCGCGACATACATGTAATATTTAGAAGTCTCTATAGTGTAAGGGATCGGTTTAGGGTTTAGGGTTTAGGGTTTAGGGTTTAGGGTTTAGGGTTTAGGGTTTAGGGTTTAGGGTTTAGGGTTTAGGGTTTAGGGTTTAGGGTTTAGGGTTTAGGGTTTAGGGTTTAGGGTTTTAGGGTTTAGGGTTTAGGGTTTAGGGTTTAGGAATTTAGGGTTTTAGGGTTTAGGGTTTAGGGTTTAGGGTTTTAGGGTTTAGGGTTTTAGGGTTTTAGGGTTTAGGGTTTAGGGTTTAGGGTTTAGGGTTTAGGGTTTAGGGTTTAGGGTTTTTA